GTCAGTCGCAGATGGAAAAAATTCAGACCTTTATTTTAATCGCAAGTAAGCCTCCAGAATCTCCTATTTCAAGTGTCAAAGTCAATCATCGAAGTGATATTTCCTTTGGAAATATTAATATTGTTTTGTGTAACTATCATTAAAAGGGACATTTTTAATAATTGTCATGAGTATTGAAATATGATGTTTACAAAGTAGCGTGTTAAAAATATTTGTAACACTTGTTAAAAGTAATTTTAACACGATTTTTTTCGACCAAATAGCATTAAACAAAACATATTTATTCAATTCTCAAAGAAGTTTTATCATGAACAATAGATATAGATACAATTAAATTCTTTTACAAATGTATTATCTATATACTTTAATTACATTATTATTATTTATGGACAATAATATGAAAAGTACAATTAGAACAACTGCTGATATTAATACCTTGCGATGTTGAAGAGCCTTGTAAGATATTTGAACTAGCTGAGTTGACAATTTCATGGGCATTAACTCATTAACATTTAATTCTTGAAGTGAAGAGGGCGATGCTCTAACGCTGGATCTAGCTGTTGGATGATTCTTTCAGCAGTAGCCTTTTTAAAAGAAATAGATTGATCGATGTAACCCTCAGCTACTGTTGTAGACTTCCATCTTCTTAATATCCGTTATATTTGCTCCTGACCAAATTGTTAACACATAAAATTTGAATTGAGAGGTACGGCAGATGGAAATCATTAATGGTAGCTGAGAGTTATGTAGCGAAATTATTGGAAAATAGGAAGTATTTTGAAGAAATTCCGTCGAATTTCAGATATCCACGCTTACAGAAGGGCGTAATGTAATGTATTTATTAAAATAGTTGATGTTATTTTCAACACAGCAAAAAGAACGACCTATTTTCGTTTTTGTTTTGGAATTTGAACAATAAATGATTTATCCATTAATTTAATGTCTTCTATTAATAAATGGCACAGCCATTCACGCCGGCAGATTTTATATATTCTGAAAACAGTAGCAACTTTTATCATCAAATATTTTTCATCTGGCGCCTCATTTATAAACCTCTGGACTTGTTCAAACGTAAGTGCTTTTGATTTTTTGGGCTTATAACTTTTAGTTTTCCTCTTTGAGAATGCTATCACTTTGAAATATCTGCTTGTGTTTACACCGTTTTTAAAGAGTGCCCTCGACTTTATCATTGAAAACTTGCCCACTTGCTCCACAAAGTTGACTAGTTCCACATTTTCGTTTTCTCTTCGAAATAGGCTAAGAAGACGGTTTCGCAGCCTCTTCAATGTCGTCAGGAACAAACAATTTCTTATTATTGTTTTTCATTATGCAAGACATTAAACACCAGAAAGAACTTTAAATGTTACTTTAAATAAAACGCGTGAGCTATAAACGATACTGTTTGTTGGTAACCAGGTGATTCGGCGTCACCAGACACGGCCACTTCGCAGCAAATTCGATGACATGAAAATAGTTGAATGACAAGAGCTGTCAAGGTCAAGGTATTTATAGAAATGATGAATCTATCTATTTTATTATGAAAACAGGACAGTTGTACAAAAAACATTTAATGAAATTTGTGTAAAAGTAAGTTTTATTTTGTTCGTGAAATTGCTCAACTCGCTACGCTTCTATTTCGAACCTTCGTAAGAGTTTGGTGCTTTCGTCAGAGGTTGAGTCATGTTTAAAGATCATCTGTGTTATTATTAGATTGACTGGTGCCTCAACTATACTTGTTTTTTATAATAGTCAGTTAGTTTGGCGTATGTTTGGCAATACAGTTGATCATCACCCGTTAATAGTTCCATTTTCAGATGATTTAACAATAAGCTTTGCACGGACTAGTTCAGTCATATTAGGAAACGCTAGTTGGAGTTCTAGAAAATCTCATAAGTTTTTGCTACCTCTTGAACATTTACTACAAAGTAAACAAGTGAGGATTTTTCGAGCAAAAGATCTACAAACACAAGACGAGATAAACTGTATGGAATCATTCAATCCAGAGCGGTCAGGAGTATTGATTCTGCTATTTTTGTGCTCACAAAGAGTATTCAATAATTATTAAATAAAAAAATATGTTCCATTTTGGTGAATGAACAGAAATTTCGAATAAAATTTTCCAGGGATCAATACTTCTAATTGTTGGGGCTATGATACACATTTTCATATTAAATGAAATGAAATTTAAAATGAAATAAATAATTACATACTTTATTTCTTCATTCTACTACTACAGTCTGCTTTTAATAATTTTGTTTAATGTATATAGTGTACTCGCTTCGGCGGTACATATACTGAAATTGGACCTATATATAGTGGTAAGGTAGTGTTTGCTGGCCAATTGATGACAAAATTATTTGGGTGCTGACGTATGGAAACTATCCCGCTGTAAAAATAAATTTACGAATAGTAAAACAATAAATGAAATCCGAATACTCATAAAGAGTTTTTTCTCAGATTTTTCCTGAGAAAACAATATCAATATATCAATAACTTCCTGAATTCTATGGCATGTGAAAATTCACATGCTTATTATACGAATTCAAAACATATCTATTATCAGTAATGTACTGTCTGGTAATATCAGATCTGGCCAGTTTTCAGCTATTTTTTAATTTCGAATATCCAGACAGTACATATCCATAACTATATATGCCCATTTCTCGTCAATATAAACATCAAGGTAACTTATTTGAGCACTTATTTTATTCAATTATTTTTCATAAAATGATACTTGATAAATTTTACTTATTTGTTTGTGAAAAATGACAACTTGAATCTTCTCAGTTTGAACAGAACCTAATTGAAATCAATTCATTGTTCACACATTTTTATTGCTCATTATTTTCATATATTCAAATGGTTGAGTTTTCTATTTCCAAACAAAAGTAATATATCGGAGAAAATTTAGCTTATACTTACATAACTTGACTCAATTCACAAATATTCTTCATTTATTAGTATGAAATTGGTCATAAATTTGTTCTTTGTGGAATAACCCCCTTCAATAAACATCTGACAAATATCGATTCGAAAAGTGATTCAAATTAATCATATACCTAGTTTGCATCTAGTACATATTTTTTAATGATATTCGGGTAAGTATATAAAAAATTGCTACATATTCGGACCCTGAATTGTTATCGTTATTAGTGTTGTGTTCTGAGTAGACCACATTATTAATAACTACTGAGCATCATGTCATGGCTATTCACAGTCTTCACCACTAATAAATATCATTATCATTGATTATCAACAAGTTCTTCCGCAGTTGAAGTATACAGTTGAAATCTCATTTATTATTGTTTGCTGCTTCGTTTCATAAAATGTTTTTGCTAAGCCTTTTGTATAAAAGAAGCGATACTTCAAATTAATTATATTGTATATTTCGAAAGAATGGCGAAGGTGCTAGAGCTAGAAATATAATTTAGTTCGTTGACCGCTATATTATCCATATATTTATTTGGTGAAATACCGCTGGTATTCGCATACATATGTAGTCTTTCCGTTATAATTTGTTCATCGCACTGTGATTCTTCTTGATATTTCCTGTTGATGATTATCTCAACAAGTATAAAATATGCAACGAAATTAATGGTACGGTTTACATTTAACCATGCGAATAGTTTTTATATTTCGTACAGCCTCTCGGTAATAAATTCAGTCATCACTGAAGTCAGTCGCTAGTTAACAGGAAGGTTCATCAGAATGATTATTCGAATCAGTAAACCAAACCGTAGCAACTAAGATACAATTTACTTTGTTTTAAATGTATTATCGTTGCAAATATTAGATTTGTTACAGGTCATACCTTTATATTTTAAATAAATATGCTTTAGGTGCTCAATAGGAAAAAAATACTAATTTCAATGTAAAAAGCAATAAAAAACACTTTTTTGAAAATCCAATTACCTTGAATCACCTTCGTTTGTATGTTGCAATTAAAATCTTCATCAGTTGATATTTGATATATGTCTTACTGAAGGATTCTGTCCGTTTAAAATTCCTCTTCTGAACATACTTCATACATGCCCTTTTTGAGAGCACCCTTTCTTGTGAAGTGAGGACTGCACAGTGAGGACTGCAAAATGATAAAAAGTATGTTGGTCAAATTAAGCGGACTGTAATGACTGGTTAGAAGGAACATGTTTCATAGACCAGAGAAGTCTGATGTCGCTTAACATGCCTTAGAGAATGACCACAGAATAAGTGAGAAATGCTTCAAATTGTTGAGACCAGTATATGACAGCAGGTTACGCATTTGAAAGTTCAGGAATCGAAATATGTGGAACGAGATGAGATATAAATATGAAAAACTCACGGCTTGTGAGTTTAGTATTAGCCATATCCTGATGATGCAAACTTGGTTCGCGAAACGATCGTCAAACGTATGGAAAACGTTTTTCCAATAGTAAACGTGCGAATTTATCCGAATGAATGGTCTAGACACCATCAAAGGGAGATCCAAAATTCAAAATATACAGTCTCCTGATTGTAAGACAAGAGCTTGTTCTACGGTCTTGAAAAATGTTCTCGAAGAGCTTTGACAGTGATCAATTCATTGCAGAGGATGGAATTGCAACATATTGCTTTCCCCTTTCAGTAGTTTCACTGGGATAAATATAGATTCCCGCCTCGTGTCAATATTACCCCTTTCATGGTACAAACTTACTAATTGCTTCACAAAGGTGCTTCAGAAGTTAGAACAGTTTGAAATGTTATTATTGAATAAGTCTTCATTATTCATCTCCTATTCATTTATAGTACACATTCTTTATAGAGAAGTAATTTTGATTGTAAAAAAGACACTTCAAGACTGTATTTGAAACAGTAATGCTCATGTAATGATCATGATTGGTCGAATGACTTGAACGTTAAGGCAAAAAAATGTATTATCTTGAAAGCAGTTTTCACTTATAACGTGCACTAAAACGTTTGACAAAACTCATGACGTGTTATAACAAATTTCAATATTTCCATTATTTCTTTGTTTGTTTCAGGATCTCCAGACCAAGTCGCATAGTACTTGTAGCGATGGATCCTTACTTAGCATGGATAGTTATGAGGATGAGGTGAGTAACTTTGACTGATGGAACATGTACAGTTTCACCTTTTATGAATTCCATTATTAATCTGCTGTATGTAAATTCAAATATTTTTTTTATTGTAGTAATGCTTAAAGAGTTAATTCTCTGATACAATATAATCGTGACCAAGGTAGATGGTTTTATAATAATAATGAAATATTTATTGCTTAACAAAAAACAGTCACAGGTCAATTTCTGATGAAAAATAAAATTAAGTTTAATTATAGCAATGATACATTCAGAAAGTAGGTAAAACTCTAAAATAATAGCATTTTCATAGATAGTTTGTGCACACTACACAGATCGGTGTTTTTAGGTTAATTCTAGTTTGCACTTGTTTACAAATGAAAGTTCTACTTCGTTTATTTTAAATGGTTGAATCAACTGCAGAAAGAGTTTATGACTAGCTGGAATCAATTTTGCTGGAATCAAATTTGTTCACAAAAAGTATTTGAAGCTTTAATAACATCTAATTATCATATGCGAGCGCTTTCGATAGCAGGCGTGCTATAATCTTCATGGCTTTACTCAAACTGAACGTTTGTTCTTTCCTAAGATTGGAACGCATTAGTGCAGGGATTTGTTGTCCTCTTTCATCCGGATGTCTCTTTACTCCAATATACTCCACAAAACAATACANAAACCACATTGCATTTATTGTAACTAATGGTACATCCTCCAGAAACTGAGGTAGCGTTTGTTCCAAAAAGTTGCGGCATACCTCGCCGGTAAGTCTTCCTGGCAGAAATACCGGTCCAATTAGAAAGTCACCTACAATTCCCATCCAAGCGTTTGAAGAGAACTGATGTTAAAAGCGATCTTCAAGCAACTCATGTGGATTTTTTTCATTCCAAATATGGTTATTGTGGAAATTCCTTGTGGCATTTCTTGAGAAACTGGTTTCATTGGTAAAAATAATAAGCGTCAGTAGTTGAGAGATTTGAACCAACGTGCGCAAAAGAATGCAATCCGTGGAAGGAAATCTGCAGGAAGAAGTGTCTGAACTCGTTTTATGTGGTATGGGTATAACAAATAGCCTAAAAGAATGTTCCACATCGTCCCGTTACTTACATTTAAAGTATTTGCATTTTTTCGAGTATAGGTACCTGGATCTTCTTCTATCATGGCCAGCACATTCTCTTCTGCTTCTACCGTTCTCACATTGGCCTTCCTGGTCACCATTTTGCTTCCATGCTTCTGTTTCACGAAGTCATTGATGTATACTTTGAAAGGTTTTTCTATTAGACAAATTACGATTAGGAAATAGTTCACTGTACTACCGCCTAGCTTCCAATGAATTGCCATCAGCAAGTCCATGAAATGCATGTCAGCCATCTCTGCGTTTCTTCACTTACAAGACTTTAAATATTGAACACAGAAAATGCACGTCAAATAGACAAATAGACACATACAAATGAACACTTACAAGACATACTATTGAAATTGAATGTCTGCAGCCGTTTGTAGTAATCGGAATTTTGTTGATAGATATCAACGAAATTGTTAGATTTTTCATCACTGGGTAGGTCCAATGTAGTACGCTCTAATTTTATGTCGGCCACGTTAATAATTTTAAAATTACCAAAATTGTTATTGTCGAAATTCTTTTTCGCTCCGTATCGAAAACAAAGTGCCCTATCAAAAAAATATCTTCAGAGTAGTCTAAGGAATAGTCCCTTAATTTTTTGCCGCATGTTTAATAACCACCCTGTATACAATGGATACATTACTCCTGATGAGAGACACTCAAATACATATATTTCAAAACATTTTAGTGAAGGGAGCCAAATGGCTGGAAACGTGGTTTTATCTTATTTTACATGATGTTGTATTCGTATTAATTTTGATATATATGGCATTCGTCGAAAAAAGGTATATAGTGTGTCAAAAAATGAGTTTTGACTTAACGATTGTTTCGGACACTTGAAAGCATGCTCTTTCGCATGAATTTCGCCAAACTTGAGAAAACATTTTTTACACGTATTTTTAAACGTATGTTCAGAAACATTCGCTGAAAAAAGGTACAGGTACAGGTACGACAGATTTTTCAAGTTTTACGTTGCTGATGCAAGAACTATTCAGTTGTGTATCATACAAATTCTCCTCAAACTCGGCATACTCTGTTTCACAATTTTCTGATATAATATTTGAACCAGAACATGCAGAAGATTCATCTTCATTACAAACTTCATCGTATATCCATTAACCGCTTGGAACTCTTTATTGAAAACCTGCTGTTTTTTTTTTAAATCGTCACTCGCGTTCATTTTAATAAAATAGAATTTATGAAAGTTGATAATTCTCACGAAAATTAAGAAACTGGTAAGATAGAAAACCCAGAAACGAAAAGGATACTTTATTCAGCTGCATTGTAAACCAATCATATACTCGACAAATGAAGCTACCGCTACACTAAATTGAGAATAAACATCGCAGATTGAAGGAATGACGTCACAGATACCCAGACCAATGATATCAAGACCTTACACTCCCACCCCACTGAAGGCGTGTATATGGTAGTTATACACCGCGAAACTTTGAACGCATTTTTCTCGAAAACTTGTTTTCGTACACTATGTACCAACCTTTCTTCGACGAGCACCACATATGTTAGATATGCTCAAAATGTTTTAATAGTTGTTCTCTTTTTTATCAGATACCTACTTGGAATTTGGACCGAGTTCCAATGTAGCACCTCTGAATCACAGTGCTGCGCATCACAGGGTATCGGTAAAACCAAAAAGAAAACATGGAGCTCCAAAACGACCAAGGGGACAACAGGTAAAATTATCTGAAGTTACACTTACTCTTGTTACATTTGTAAGTTAATTTGAAATCAAACTCATAGGAGGTATATGAAGATATTGATAAGACAGCTAAATATCTGTTGTATAAGCCGGAAAAGGTTAAAGGAAAAGATCAACAGGCGACCTTCTATCGTATGTGTCCCATATTTGGTATAACGCAATCGAGAAACATGGAGAATCAAGAGCTGTAGCGCTTGATATTTCTAAGGCCTTTGACCGTGTGTGGCTCTTCAGCTTCCTGAAAGAACGTTCCCTACAAGTGGCCGTCGATGAATATCTCTCGAATAATTTCACCATCAACGCTGGTGTTCCTCAGTGATCCATATCATCTCTAACTTTTTTTTTATTGTATATCAACGACGTATTGGAAAAAACCAATAATCCAATATATTGCTTTGCCGACCACAGTACACTTGTCCCGTCATTGCATTTGGATTCCAAGACATCGGCTTCGGTGGCACATCTTCACCGGCAGCAGGAGGTTGCATATCTTCATGAGGATCTAGAAGTGATTCCGAATTGGGGTGAAAGTAACCAGGTTCGATTCAATGCTACAAAACCCCAGGCATCGGTTTGCTCCAAGAAGATGAATGTCTGCTTCGATATGTTTATTGGGGGTTAAAATGGAGACCAATGTGTCCTGGCACAATCATGTCGCTGGAATTGCAAAGGCTGCTTCTCAAAAGCTTGGAACATTGTTCCGAACCAGAAAACTTTTGATGCTTCATAAAGCTCAGATCAGATCTTTGGAGTATTATTCTCATGCACCTAGCTCTGCCCCCAAACATACCTTGAAGTTGCTGGATACTATCCAGAAAAAAGCCGTACGGCTGATTGGAGACGCGAACATCACATACAACCTTGATAGCCTGGAACATCGAAGAAAGGTTGGAGATTTGTCTCTCTTTTATAGATACTTTCACAAGAAGTGTTCAAGTGACTTAGCACACATTTGATTCCAAGAGTGGTTCAAATCGACGGACTGTGGCTGCTCATCGTTTTGTTGTTCAACTCAGTACATCAGTAGATTCCATGTATTTTTTTATGGCGCTGAAATTTTTGCAATTTTCATGACATCTGATCGGAACCTTGTGGAACACCCAACTCGAGATTGGTGTGTTTTGGAGAGTGGTAGTGAGAAACGTGTGACGTAATCGATGCAGAAAAGGAATGGAATGAGTATCGGAGAGATTCAAAGAGCGTGGGTCTCCTTGAGAATCCCCCTCACCTCATCAGGCCCCCTTGGGGCCCCCCTCAATAGAATTTGATGTTTTTTACAAAGAACTTGTCTGTCTTCAAGTAAATTCTTAATGCAATGAAGTCACCAAACCAATTCACGGTTCCGTACAAACTAACACAAACACGTAATCTCTTTGAAAAACACTAATCTGGCCAATGGCGATATATGTCAGTTACGAAATGGCGTTAATTCAAATGAATCGATTGGCTTAAATGTTTAGAAGCCCGGCGGCTGAAAAATTAAAAAAAATAACGTCAGAGTGCCAAATATATGTTACTTCTCTCATACCGTGTACTCTCACCTTATGGCCAATTTTGTTGCTACTATTAACAATGAATGTCTTCGTGTTTGGTCTTAATATGTTCTTTCACATCACCAAACCATTATTTTCAACACCTCGACACGTGATTCAATTACTTGGTGATTGAAACACCAAAGGCTCCAAATAGTGCAACACAAGTAGAAAATTTGTAGATGAATTCATATCAAATTCAAATGTTAACTTTTTATATACCGTGGGAGAAAAACCAGAATGAGTTATTATTCTCTCCTAGAGTATAATGAAGTATAAATACCCGTTACTATTACAAAAAAAAAATATGATACCTACTTTCATTGGAGAAAGTATATTTTTCAGTTCTGTATAGTATTGTTACATTCAAATTTGAATTAAATTTATTCACAGCTGAATTCTGCACTGCCAGTGACTCCTGAAGTTAACGAGGATTCTTCCATCAGAAGTACATCACCTGAGACTACTAGGAAAGGTGAGTATTTGCTTTGATCTTGTGTGCTTCAACTAACATTGCACCGTGTCAAACTAATTTGGCATCTGCCACAAGATCTCGCATTTTTTGAATCTTCAATTGAAAATTTCAACCGAAAATGAAGTAAACGTTTTTCCAAGCCAGTGGTTTATGGTCTGAAAGTTTCTCCTGCGTGGTAACTATCCAAGTATTATCATCCAAAGTACTTTAATTGCCTTTTCAAATTGGACTACTTCACATAGGGGGAACCTTGGAATGAACCCATTTCAATTCAAAGTGAAACATTTGGGGAATCCCAAGAAGATAACCTACGAAAATTTAAAACGTGTTTGAAGCCTGCTGTGAATTTATAGGCACCTGTTGATTCCAGATAAGTGATTTGTTTTTCCTCCGAGAAAACTTGAGTTGTATCGTTAACACTACATTCCACATTGGAGATTTTTACCCTATAGTATGCCAGAACTTTCATTCAGATCTTCTCCAATATATGTTCTGTTATGTTTTATTGTTGTGGTTCGATTTCAATGAATCATAATACAGTTCATTCCGTATTTGTTTGTTTTTTGCTCACCTTGAACTATGAACATGTTGAGACATTTTCATATCTGTCATGGTCTTCAACAGATAGTTTTAGAATGACTCACCAATGTTCATGGCGAATTTCATTAGTTCAAATATGATTCTATTGTGATTCGAAATTATATAAAGCAATAAAACTTACTTCCACATAGCAGAACTGCAATATTCTTCTCGAGCACATTCTATCAGTCAATTTGGCATCATCAGGAGATGAACTTGAGGGAAATCACGATGACACACAATACAACATAACCTTGATTATTTTCCAGACTCTTGCTAGCAATTGATGTGAATGCAGTGAAGTTACTAGTGCTCTTCCATTTGAAGTAATGCTGCTAACTAACTTTCATCTTCCATGAGTAGCAAAAATTATATCAACTAAGCATGTCGGAAAAATAGGTGAATTGGAGTTGACATGATATCATTTTAGCATATTTTAGGAGTAATTCTTTAGAACTATTTCAATAAGGTATTTAATAATCCCCTATTATTGATTGAGGAACAGTAATGTTATTTGGACGCGATATATACAGACGGCTCAAAAACCAAAGAAGGCTCGGGATGTGAATTGTACTCCAGATCACTAAGCCTATGGATTAAGTAGAGAATGGGAAAAAATACCAGCGTGAAAAAATACCAGCGTGGTTCAAACAGAACTGGCTGGTATCTCAATCGCCACAAAAGAAATAACCAGTAAAGGAATTTCTGGCAAAAACATTACAATCTGCACTGATAGCAGACAAGGCTTATTAGCCTTGAACAGACAACGTGTTACCTCAGGGCTAGTACTAGAGTGCCACCAAGATTTAGCCAAAGCCTCGGTAAATAATAACATTATCCTGAGGTGGATTAAAGGGGACGACAGGATTGAAGGTAATCGCATTGCCGACTCTTTAGCCAAGGAAGCGGCTGGACTAAGAATTTTACGACCCAGTGGCACCTACGGCCTGATGACTTCGACAATTGCGGAACACCCATGCTCAATCCCTAAAGAGATGGGATGGGTCACATGTGGCCTAATTGCCTACACTCATCCTCCCTACTCTACAGATACAGATGTTATTTGGAATCAGATAAATGAGTCTAATAATATTCATGAGTTTGGTTTGAAAGCGAATACAGTTGAGTCTAGTTTGAGCACAGCCAGTAACGAAGTTCCAGTGGTGTTAGTCTTTGAACTATTCATATTGTCAGCGTAATGGGGGCTGATCTCTCAAACAGTTTAGAAAAGCTAAGAAAACAGACTAGTTATGTATGGATGAATAAATTTTGTATGTATATAAAGTGTATGAGTTGAAACGGCTCAAAGAGAACTGCTTTGCTTTCGTGCTATGCTACTGTAACATGTGATATTCTAAAGACTTATCTCTTGTAAGCAGAAAATGTTCTACAAGTACCATGCAATACATTGCCGATTTATACTCGCCTTGAGTTCTGCCGGATCAACAATATCTTTGGAAACTATACAAAAAAAAATTCTGAGTTTAAAAAAAATCTGTTTAAAATCTGTTTTTCCGTTAACCAGCTGTCGCATCCCTACGAACGCCAACCCTCAGAAGTCGAAACTTGTGCGAGCTAAGGATTAACGAGGTGTTACCTTTTAACGTGTGATTCCTAACACGGGTTGGACGGTAGCAAGTGAAGATCGATCGTTCAGACTAGTGCTTGAACCACCGACCAACACGGCAGTCAATTCGAGTGAGTGAACAAATCACCCACGACGAACCGCTTGGCTACCGACCGAGTAGATATAGTTTTCGTTGAATACGAGTGAAAATCAATATCATAATTAGTGAGTCATGAAAAATGTATTTTTATGTTGATTCAAAGCCAACCACTAGAATCCTATAAATATCAATCTCAATCTACTTACTGATGAAGGGAATTCTCAGAAAACACGAATTCGTTTCTTAGTTCTGAAATTAGTGGAAGGAAATGCAAAAGAGAGACTATTGTTTCTTGCTTTTGTTATTATAATTACTGTCGACAGAATATGAATAATTTCTATAGTGCTTTATAGTCCGATGGATCCAACTTTTCCAATTTTTGATATTAAAATAAAAAAACCGGTATTACTGATATAGAAGAAATATTTTCTTAATATATTCAAGAGATCCCCGTGAATCCCATATGTTTTGAAAGGTTCAAGGCATGTTGTCATTCTGCTGAACAATATTTTGAAATCACTCGACCTCATGAGTTGGCGTGATTTGTATTTCCAGCAGAATGCAGCGCCTGATCTCGCTGAACAGCACATCGACTTCTGGTAGTACTGTTCAATTTCAGTAGCCATCTAGGTTTCCTATCTTCACCACCTCTATGTGGTTATTTGAAGCAATACTGTATAATTAGTTGTTATTCGAATACAATTTTGCTACTGAATTTTGAAGCATTTATTCTTAACCAATCCATGGTTAGCTATGTGACTTAATTCTACATGCAATATAACGGACCAACATAAGGGACTAGTAATATGTTTGCTGAAGAGAATACGAAAACTAACATAACGTCCCTTCGAATCCAATTTGACGGATTATCCAAGATGAAGGACCGTTCAAAATGGCGGAATAGTTTTTTATGTACTCTCATGATAAGGTTATTAAATGAAACGAGATGACCGCCATATACTCAAACTCGGCTAGAGGTTATGCAACAGTGACGCATCAAATGAAGTTAACTAAGGAACATGTCCATCGATAAGTTGAAAATAATGAAAAAAAATGGCGTTTGTTTATATGCTATAAAAAAGAAAATCAAGTTTAAATTAAATCAAGCCCATCAATTCATTACATTACACAATTTACAGGATGAGAGCTTGTCTCGAGATTCATCTGTGTAGTGAACAAAAACAGAATATTACGTTCTTGACAAGAATTCTAAGAAAACAATTATGTTTTTTTTTTTCACAAAATAGGCAAATAACATAGAAATTATGTGTTGGAATAAATTGACGGTTTTCATTTGATTTTAATATTATTTTCTTCTTAGACTAAAAGCTAATTGTTTTCAAAAATATTTTTTCAATTAATTTCATTTGGAATTAGGATTCGGCAATAAAGTTAAAATTCTTTTATATATTCCTCATGATTACTTTATTTTTCACTTAGAAAATTAAAAAATGCTTACATGCTTTCAAGATTTAAATATGATTCTCTAACAGAAAAAGTATCACTCTCTTTCAATCAAAAAGTCGACAAAGCGTTACTCAATTGGTTTTTTGTATTCTGCATCTAAATGGACATCAAAATACTGTTAGTTTGAGAAGTTCAAAGGATTCCTTGTTTGAGAAATTTCAACGATTTCTGATCTCCAAAAGTTACCAAATCTTCGGAAGACATTTTTTTGTTAAAGACCCAATATTGTCTACTGTTCTTTGGGTTTCTAACCTCCGACAATCTGAAAAAATGAAAGCTAGATCAATAAAGAATCCGTTGAAGAACTCTCTTAAGAAACACTGGCTGTTTATGATAGGGAAATTCAAACTCAAAATGTGTATAAAAATATATAAATATGTACACAGATAAATTGTCAAATGTGCACAATACTTGAATTCTATCGGCCCTTATACATATCCAGCATATTGATAAAGGCGAAAAAAATATTTGATGACTTCATTTATCCATGTAACGAAATACACAAAGTATCAGACATAATTCAAAGGTATTCCACAACAACGGAATACCCAGATTTACTTGCAAAGTCATAGGGAACCCAATGCAAAATCCTTATGTTTTTTTCATGTCTGCCACTTCAGTAAGATATCAGTGTCAATTCCCCCGCTTGCATGTTCGTCCGCTTTTCTACCCCAGTAATGCCCAGTTTTGCTTTGCAGAGTCTCTAACCGATCTCCCTAGCATGAATACCCCCAGTATGTTAACAGAGATCCAACTAAAATGTTCCTCTTTGCCCCCCGGTCTCTCAGGACCGGGATCGGAGAGCAAATTGAACAGGAGTAAGTCCAACGCTGGAAGCAAATCGCAAGACCCTTTCTCCCCTCTACACGAAGAAAAAGAGAAAGAAGGAAAGCTCTCTTTGTTCGATAGGATATTTCCTAGAAAGAGCGGTAGGAAGAAAAAATCGAAAGAGGAGAAAGAAGCGAAAAACGAAGTTAAGGTCGAAGAGAGCAAGACTCGACACCGGGAACTAGGTAGGTGACTAGGTAGGTGGATGGTGCGGTGGAGTTTCATCTACTAACAAATATATCGGATGAGTTTGAGGGGATAGGAATTGAAGTAATGAAACAATAATTGGGGATTGTAGATTAGAAAAAAATTCTCATAAAATTTTTCCATATAAATTCAACTTGACAGCTAATGATCGTCTCAAAACTAAAAACTGCATGGAAAATATTTCGAAAAAATCATCGAGGAAACCTGTATAACATATTGTATGCATATCAATAATAGTTCTCTTAAAAAAAGCAATGTTTTCAATTCTTCTGTTATGGTGTACCTACTGTGGTGTACAATGATTCACACAATGAATATCAAGTGATACCCTGAATGTATTATTCAGTAATAATAATAATAATACCCCAAGTTCAGTTGTATCTTCAAAGAAACATTTATCAACCGTGAAATTTTTACTTCGATTTCCTTTGGATTGTCTGATTGGCGAAGTCATGAGTCAGTGTGCTTATAAGGCCCACTTTCATAAATGTCCTTTTGAACAAAGACATGCTGATATTTTCACAATATAGAAATAAAAGACCTAGGAATTATATATAAAAATACATTATCGTTCAAAATAAGGTTAATTGAGGTTAATTATCAGGCAAACTAGAATTTTCAGAAATATCCATTCGATCGAACTGCTGTACTATGAATTGGTTTGAAATAAATTTGAATTTGGATCAAAGATATGGTTTGGCGAGTATCACTCCATATTATATGACTTGGAAAAACTTCAGAACAAATTTTGAAGGTATCTTCACAAAATATCACGTATGGCCAGACTACCGTTTAGTAAGAACAGCTCATTTGAGGAATGAATTCAGGATACTGTCTCTCCAAAATAGGGTCAAAATGGGTGTAATATCATTCATTTACGGGCTTCTAAATAATAGACTAAACTCACCTCATTTATTATCGTTAGTTGAATTTTGCGTTCCAATCAGAAGAATAAATACGATGTTTCATATACAGAATTTTTGCTCTATAGGTGCCCCACTCACAAATGAATTGAATGTATTAATAGATATAGATTGGACAGATTCCCTAACAAAATCACAGTAAATCAATTTTTTTTCTATATCCAATAACGTATAACTGAAAGGTACTTCAAAAAAGTGTACTAACATCGTTTTATTGTATCATATACTGACATAAAGGAAACAAACAATTGGTGTTCAAAATCAGTCTGTAAAATGGATGTCAACAGTATATGAACCTCAAGCTTTATCAAATACTTTTTCAAAACAAAAGTTCAGTCGTGGGACCAGTTCTATTTCTTATACAACATTATTTCCTCAGATGGAACTATATGTTACCCTTTATGCAGGTGATACAACTCTTTTACAAATACACCTAAATAAAAAATACATGAATAATAATTTCAGTTTCAAGTAAACCGTTTTGTTAGGTGTTATTATTAGAAATTCACATGCACTAAAGCTTTAAGGAGGATAATCTGGAATTATTCTCAGAAATCGTCGCTAAAAGCAGTTAAGACAGAAAAATTCCAAAACGTCTACACCACAGGAATCTCTTAGGTTTAACTCATCCAGATATAATTATTTCGTTCATATTCTTCGGCAGAAGTTTTCAAGTACATGCCACTCTGCCAGAGTGACAAAACTACTAAACCCAAACCTTATTGTGCTGAAAGTTTATTTGTATATTCATATTTTTTGTTTTAATTGTGTCCTTTTTTGTTATTTCTGTCTGCTGTTGTTTACGTTATTTTGTTTTGCACATGATTTTCCTGTTATTGCTATTTTTAACGCTTCAAATCTAATGTGAAAAGTCCTTATCATTTGTTAGTTCTTGGGGTATTCGAAACATATTCATGGAGACTTTGTTTTTCTGGTTGTATTGTATTTATTGTAAGTAAAAAACCAATAACCGGTTCAAGAATCATGAATAAATAATATTTATTTATTCAGTTTAGCTACAATATTTCACAATGCATATCATTGTTTATAATTATATTTTTACAGTTACAGAGCATCATACAGTTTGTATAATTCAATGTGATTCAAAAATGTATTTTAAAAAAATCCTCAAGTCACCAAAATACCCTGAAATGTTAACTTCTGAAAAAACTGCATTTCTGGCATATCATGGGTTCAGTTGACATGAATGAATTCTTAATAATTGAAGGAAACTGGTATCCATTTAGACCACTTCAATTCATTTTTATTGTGAACTACTCACATTCATTATTTGTAGAGAAAAATGTGATAGTTATGAAAGTTAGTTTTGGAAAGTTACAGTTATAATGAAGTGGAAATATTCAATCAATATTGAAAAATATATTCCATCATATTTCAATTTGCATTCTATTTATATCAACAATTTCGATCTCGTTTTTTATTTTTAGACGTTTTTCACTAACATCATAGCTTCCTCGTGGGTTCCTCTTATTGTATGATTGTACCAAGATGAATAACGAGGCAGTCACATGACCTGAACACTTTGTAATCATCTTTATCATTTTTCAGACACAAATGTTTGAAAAGAGCATGAAAGTCAATGTTTTATGATATAACCAGGCATCATTGAAAGTGTGAACCAAGCATCATTGAAAGTGTGAGGTTGTATATTTGTGATTATAAAATGACTCGGAATCAAAGACAGCCGATAAAATTATTGCTAAGATGACACGGTTATCTGCATAAGCTTGCAGATATACTTTTCTTTTGTCGAGGGCATCAAGCAGACTATCCCTCAGTAGCGACCACAGAAGGGGAGATAGGGCAGCCTCTGGTGACCCTGAACCTAATGGCCTTGCTTTGAAGAGTCGTAGTTGCAGTTCTGTTTACCAGCATGGCATAAATCCAGCCAGTTATGGTCGATTGTATACCTTTCCTAGCCAGAGATGATTCTATAGATTTAGGTAGTGCATTGTTAAATGCTCCTTCGATATCGAGAAATACAGCAACCACAATCTCCTTGTTATCAAGGGATTGGGAGATTTTCTCGTCAAGGTTTGATGCAGAATCTGTCGATTTGCCAGTTTGATAAGCATACTGGTGGCTATTCAGGGGGGATGCATATAATGCCACCCTCCTGATATGTCCGTCCAGTATCCTCTCAAGTCCTTTCAGCAGGAAGGATGTAAGGCTGATTGGTAGTATCGATTTAGGGTGTGGGTCTTTCCGACCCACTTTAGGTATATATACCTCCCATGCTGCCAACCAACTGTGTGGTATATAGTTCCAGGTCAGACTAATTTTTTTTATTTTTTTGGGATTGGTTAAATTTTTTTTCGTTCCTTTTTGAGGAGGGGTTGGGGGGTTCCGGAGATTTTAAGGGCTGAAACGACTTAATAGCCCATTCAACTGCCGGTGCTGTGTTAACCTTTTTGACGACCTCCCAATCGTTCTTTTTTGGGCGGTTAGCGCCCTTGCCCTCGAAGATGGGAGGTCTGTTGTTATCGAGAGTCAGATTTTCAGGAAGGTTGTTTTCCTAGAAATCAGTCATTAACAATTAAATGAATTTCATAACCTGTGTAATTCGAAAATTTCACCTTCATTCCAAAGGATTCAGAAATTTTCAAAAACTCTTAGATTCATCGAATGAACGTAAACCATGCAAACGTATCATTTATCATCATACATAATATTTTTGCAGATATTGAGGGGAGTACCATATCGATGAAGTCACATACAGAAAGTTCCTCCACGTATGTGACGTCCACGTCGGTGAAGTCTGAAGCTCCGAAACCTACGCCTCTTCCCCGTTCGGGAGCCGCTTCACGCCAGAGAGTACTCCCAATCGATATTCCAGCTTCACCTGACGGAGTACGGAAAGAATTGACAGTAGTTATTACAAAACCGCCATCGGAAAAACCTCCCACTGATACTTCCCCGTTTCAAGCTGAACTGGAAAACCGGTTCAAACACAGACAGGTAGGGACAATTTTCTTTTTCAGGTATTCACTTTGTAATACCTTTCTTCGTAAGGACTATGAAAACATTAAGCTGAAAGCTAAATTCTTTTGAGTAACACACATGTTTAAAAACAACATATAATTTCAGTGTCGTTGCTTTTCGAGTTTGAAAGCCGTGGATTTTTGGAATTTCTTCCTGACGTTTCGCTGGCGCGAGTGGCTAGCTTCTTCAGTCATCGGACAGCAAGCCATGATGGTTAAACCTCTGAAGAAGCTACTCACTCGCCCCAGCGAAACGTCTGGAAGAAATTTCGGCTTTCAAACTCGAAAAGCAACGACACTGAAAACCTCAGCCGTGAAAGTCTAAACCACTTTGTCAACATAAAATTTTCCCCAGCAGATACATTTTTTTTCATTTTCTGGTTCGAATAATTGTAAGAAACGTAGTTTTTACAATTACCAAATAGTTTAAGAATGAGAGAATCCATTTTTCATAAATAAAAGAGTTTAAATGTGGAAGTTGTTCATCATATGAAATTGCTCGTCAATATGTAAAAATTTTCGAAATGATTCATTCAAATATACAAAAATGTGTTTAGTTTAAAGGAGTAAACACATAATTAACATGAATTTAACAGAATGTTTTCTAGAATTGTGGATGTTTTTCTCAGTTCCATTACAAAATGTCGACAATATCATCCTGTATAAACATTAAAATATCAAATCTGTTTTGTAGCATTCAGCACCCTGTATACCTTTCGACTTTAATGTTCGTGACATGTCATCAGTCAAATAGTAAACATGAATGTTTCATAAATTCCGAAGTAATTTCCAGAAACTCTTGCGAACCTCAGTGTCATTAACTGTGTGTTTCAGATCTCGATATCAACTAGTCCGCCAAAATCATTACCAAAACCGGCAGAAACTCCCCCACAATCTCCGAGGAGGTCGCCTCGAAGCCCTATACTACCAGAAAGAAATATCTTGCCAACTGTGATATCCACTTCCACGATGGAACAAACCCACTTCTCCAAATCTTCTTCTATCACCACCAGGTATTCGGAAACGAGACCGAAGAACGAGGAATTCCTCAATAAAATCAAAATGCCCGGCCTATCCTCGCTTCAACAGCGAGTGCTGTCCTTGAACCAAGACGATATCGACAACGGTTTCAAGTCCATGACCGAAATTACGAACGAACACAAGATAACGAAGCCTGTTACGAAGTCGCACAGCTTCAAAACTGTGAAACCGCAATCGTTCGACCTAGAGATCGGAGCCCACGACATCAAGTCCTCTACTGCGGACTTCCTGGCAGGAGAGAAGAGAGAGGAGAGTCGTGGTACCGTAACAAAAGCCGCTTCCTTGGACAGCGTTAAGCACTTGGACGATCAAATACACTTTTCCAACGTTAGGCTAGAGTTCAAAAATTCCAAGCCGGATGTGACGACGATGAAAGAAACCAAGAACGACAAGGTCAGAAGTGATGTTTTCAAAGAGTTCCTAGATTCTCCCATTACGATTTCGGGGCCGAGTCACACGGCGATTGTTAACGTAACAAGCAATACGGAAGATTTTACCTCCAGAAACCAATCCACGGAAACCGTAGAAAGCGGCGTGGTAGATGGTTCGCATACGATCTCTATAAAGGAACACCAAGTCTCGGTAACGAAAATCCAGGTCAAGCGAGAGTCGACACAACTCACGCAAAGTACTGTCACCATCCCTACGGCTTCGGTGCCAGAGTGTTTCAAAAAACCATTGAACAGGGTTGAGATTAGACCTTCGAGCAATATCATAATCTCCATGAAGTCTCCTAGTAGCGCCGAAGAGCAAAACAGACCAAAGACTTTATTCGACTTTGATGTGGAGACAGAGCTAGTATCCAAACCTCCAGCACCGAGGAAATTCAGCAAGGAAAACGTGGAAATAATCGAAAAGAGTGACGATTCGTCTCCAAACTCTCCCACCGTTACATCCCCATATAGGTTCAAGAAACCCGAAGCCAAACCTTCGGGACGAAAGTCTTCCATGGTTTCCATACTCCCTGAATCACAATTGAAAGAGAACACTTTCAAGAGCAGTTCAGCTAGCTTGGAATCGCTCAAGACAGAGTCCGATAAGTCCTCCCAAGACAGCCTGGATAAACTGGATGAAAAGTTGAAGGAGAAGAACAGCCCAACGACCGAACCGGTTGTCCTGCGCAGGAAGTCCTTGGCCAGCAAAAAGAAGGACGACGAACCTGAGCTAATGAAAGTGTTCGCTAGGCGGTCGCTAAAGCTTAAAGACAGCGATCTGGACTCCATACAGGATCAACTAACTGACGGTAAAACGAACAATAGCGACAAGGAAAACCAGACGGATTCACCTGTGGATGAGCGTAAGAAATTATTTAGTAGGACATTTGATAATCCGCTCGAACCGGAGTTTATGCAGAGGCGGAAATCCATCTCGAAGAGAGAGGAACACACTGAAATAAAGTCACCAGTAAAGGCGCCCCTGGTTGAGAATAAAGTAGACGAATCAGTGAAGATCAACTCCAAAACAGTTTCGAACACATCTCCAGTTTTCCTGAAGAAGTCAACCAACAATATATTCCTCGGCCAAAGGGCTTTCAGTATGAATCCTCCCAAATCGGTGACGTCGGAAATCGTCGTGAAAAAGCAGGCGAGCTTTAGCGAACGGAAGATTACAGAACAGTGGATGAGCAATATCAAGAACGAGGATTCTGAAGTGAAGGATAAAGTTGGGCAGGACAGTATAATCAGCAATATCTCTCCGAAAGGAGATTTCATTACGGAGCCTAAGAATTTCAGTCAGAGAAAGGCCGAGTGGGAAAAGAGGGCGCAGCTAGCGCAGAAAAAAACGCCATAGGTGAGTCAAAAAATTCAACTATATTCTGTTTCCTAATAGCAAAAAGTGATAAAGGTTCAAACACGCTAACGAAGTGCTCAAACAGAAATTTATGATTCAGTTATTATCTGTCACAGATGGAATAGGCGGTTTTATAATACTTTACCAGGTCCACTTTATTTTTGTATTGCGAAAGGGATGCAAACAAAAGATTTAATTAGCTTTTATGTTGGTTTATTACCTGGAGTATCATGCATTTGGGTAATTAGTCAAAAATACTTGTTTAAACTAATAACTGTGTTTATTTATTTATACAATTTTTCTTAGAATAGCAGTCCGCGTTTGGTGGACTGGTTTTTGTGAGGCTCCTACAAATGGTGTTTCCGGATTTGATGCAGGTTCTGATGTTGTACTTGGACTCTTCTTATCCTTTCCAACAATTCTCTGGCGTAGGGAAGTACAAGCACTAGTTGTGACGTATTGTCTTCTAGTCTGTTCTAGTCTAGTTCTAGTCTGTTCCACCATCACTTTGGAGTAACCATTCCGTTGAAGATCTTTTTTGATTTTGCCTAGTTTATTCTCATGATCATCCTTCGTATTACACAGCCCTAAAGTACAATCCAATAGAGACTATTGATGATTCCTCTTCTGGTAGATTGATGGTGGTTGTATTCATGATTCAGATACTATCTGTCTCACTTAGAGTCGGTCTTCTTCACCAATACGTTTAACAAAAGCAATTCGTTGTGGACTTTCTCCTTTATTGTGAAGGTGATGGAAGGTACGTTGGTAGCCGGGCGTGAGTGCTTTGTTCACTCTCTCAGTCGACCGATGTGTGAGTCGGTGGTTCAAGCCACAGGCTGAACGATCGATTTTCGCTTGCTATTGTCCAACCCGTGTTAGGAATCACACGTTTAAAGGTAAGACCTCATTACTTCTTAGCTCGCACAAGTTTCAACTTCTGAGGGTTGTCGTTCGTAGAGGTGCGACAGCTGTTTAACGAAAAAATATATTTTAAACAAATAAACAGAATTCAACAAAATTCACAAATCAATGTCGGATTTCTATTCCCAGTTTGAAGTGGACATTGATTTGAAATTAATCGAGTCCCAGGCATTTTGCTGTGTGAGTCGGATTTTTTCTCAGGTGATCTATTCGATTGATTTCAGTACCGTCCTGCTGCTGGATGAACGGGAACCATCTGCAAGACTAACCTCTGTGAGAAATCTTGCATACATGTCTGTCGGATATAATTCAATATCCAGCGTGGTATTAGCCATGGAAGTAGTTGTTTTCCTGTAGGCATTTACCAGAACCAGAATATTGCAATATTTCATTTGGAAATATTTATTTTCTAGTACGTATGTATCTCTGTTTGATACTGTCTTCAGGCACGGTTTGATTTCTATTAAATTTAACAATTAGATGGATTTTTTTTTCAAATTTTGGAATATTCAATTGGGATAACCCCTTTGCCTAATCTGCCAAAGTACTGCTTTGCTACATGACTGTTCTGATGAAGTTTTTTTTTGTTTCAGATAGAAAATGGAGAAATAGGATCGAACGAGAGACAAATTGAAGTTCATGTAAAATACGGATACCCAACAATGACATAATAATTATATTGTAAATACCTGTGTTATTGATTCAAATTGAATGAATATCAACCACTGTTTGATTTTTTTACATCACGATGTAATTTGAATAGGTCGTTTTTATTTGGTTGGTGCCATGTGATGGAGCAGGCATTAATAAAAAGATAATTTATATATGTTTTAATTGTAGATAGTTAAGTGCCTTTTATGAGAAATTTTACCTTGACCCGTGAGATTGATGTGTCTTGATTGTTGACCAATGAGGAGATGCCTTGAGCGATGTGGTGCTTGAAAGAAGGTATATTTATATATACATCCAAATGGATATCAGAACAAATATGTATGTTAAACGTTATGGGAATTAAGCATGTATCATTGATATTACTTAATGTATTTCTTGTAAAATAAATCTTTATAATTTTGATTGTCTTATTTCATCTGGCTGCGAAATTCTGCTTTCAGCTGAGTAGCAAGATTGTTTGATGTTTGGGAATGAACATCTGACTTGTGGATTCCTTGATAAATTTATTCATTTTTGTCAAAGCTATCTCTAAATCTTTATGAGATGTTGTTAACATTGTATCATCAGCAAATAAATTCATAAAGTCAATTGAGGGTCATGGGTCAATTGAGGCTGAACCTATGGCGAAAAGCACTCACTGCGCAACCTCTGCTGCAGGAAACCAGTGATGCAATTGAATCCAGGTTTGTGTTTAATAAACTCTACAAAATACAAATAAAACAAAACACGAAGTTAGATACTACAAATGCAATACGTATATATACAGACAGCTCAAAAACCAAAGAAGGCTAAGGATGTGAGGTGTACTCTGGATCACTAAGCCTAAGGATTAAGTGTGGAATGAGAACTGGCTGGTATCTCGATAACAATCTACACTGATAGCAAACAATCACTATTAGCCTTGAACAGACAACGTGTTACCTCAGGGATAGTAATAGAGTGCCACCAAGATTTAGCCAAAGCCTCGGTAGATAATAACATTATCCTGAGGTGGATTAAAGGACACGACAGGAGTAAAGGTAATCGTATTGCCGACTCTTTTGCCAAGGAAGCGGCTGTACTGAGAATTTTAGGACCCAGTGGCACATACGGCCATGCTCAATCCCTAAAGAGGTGGGATGGAATCAAAGGATGCAATCTTGCCAGGATAACCCTGGGTGACCCTGGGAAGCTGGCGCCAAAGAAATATCTGGCGATGACCAGAAAAAGTCTACGCTTAACATTAGGATTTTTGACTGGCCACTGTCAACTAAGAAAACACCTTCATAATATGGGGCTAGTGGACACATCTCTATGCAGGATGTGTTAACAGGAAGATGAAACTGTCAGGCATATCCTATGCGAGTGCCCGGAGTTATCGTCAATAAGAGACTGTGTATTCGGCGAGTCTTGGCCTATACCTGCCTCAGTTCAGCTGACGACACAGCAATCTTTTATAATGCAGAGACATGGCAAGACCTCAAGATGAAATTAGAAATTTCAAAAACATCATGAAATGGTTTCAATATAACAAATTGACCTTGAATGTAGAAGAAACAAAATATCTACCATTTACCTCTTATGCCAATAAACTACAGAACATAGGTCCATTAATTATCAATCAAAACTTATTGATTCCAGAAAGTACCTCAAATACCTTGGCCTGATGATCGATCGACACATGAACTGGGATTCACACGTATTATATCTAACTCAAAAATTACGAACTATTGAAACAATGGCTCGAAATTCTCTATATGACTACTTTATTTTTGTTTGGTTCAATCGCAACTCTCTTATGGTATTATAGGTTGGGGAGGTATTAGGGATACCCACTTGAGATGCCTGGATACTTAAAAAAAAAATATAAAAATTTTGTGACCTCTTATTTGAAGAAAGTAATGTCCTATATACACGGCAGCTATACGGCCCGAAGATTATTCTGAAAGTCGTCGAGAACAAAATAAAAATGAAACCAGTGGAACGCATGTATAATATCCGTAGAAAAGAAAATACATTTTTAACTCCTGGATGCCAAAAATTGGTAGGTCAAAGACACTACAATTATCTTGGCCCAAATATCTGGAGCATAGTACCGAAAAAAATACAACTCATTAATAAACAAAATAAATCCAAATTCAAGAAAGAACTGAAAATTTGGCTCAGAAATTCTGATCGAACTCTGTTTCTTCAAATTTTTAATCAGCACACTTTCTAAAAAATAAAACCCCCTGTAGAATGAACTCAATAAGAAATATCTAATTTCAATCCCATCATGTCCTTATGTATTTCATATTATGTATATAGTTTTTCAATTCATTATGCCAATTTATTTATTTTCATCAGTTTATATCTATCCACTGTACCTATTGTATTCAATTCATTATAGTTAACAGTTTATATCTATTCATTGTATAGAATACTCTTACATACATATTTTTTAATTTAGTTATAGTTTAGAATTTGTCAATATCACGCACAAGGAACATTTTTTCGAAAATGTTGGTTTTGTGATTCCTACGTTTATTTACCGAATCTCTGTTATATACATGTGATCAATATTGCGAATAAACATTATTATAATTAAAAACGTATTAGATACTTTTGCCTCACCAGATGCAAATTGAACATAAGGAATTAGGTAAAATGCAATATATATAATCTATAGGTATATTTCTTTCATTTACTTGCAATGCGATGTCTTAAATTCAATTGTTCAAACAGCATCTATTTCAAAACAAATGAATAAATACTGTTTCAAAATGATAAGAAGAAATGCCAGTTTTGGTCAACTTCCTCAAAAAAAATTATATATTTCTCTCCTCCCTTTTTTCATGTGCTATACACTTTCTATACCTACCATATTTTTCAATTTTAATATTTTCACAGGCTAAACTCAATTTCTCTCCCTTCTTTATACTTACAATAATAAGACAATAAAAACTCCTCGAGGAGGCTGTGAATTTTCACGCNTCTTTGCTGATTATTCGAAAAGTTTCAAAAAATCATTGACTTTTTATTCCACAGAGTTTTCCAGTCGATACATTCAAACCCAAAGTACAACTTCAGCACGAAGTGATACCGAAAACACTTCCCAGAAATGTTGCCATTGAAAGACGAAGACGAGAGTATCAGGTAAGGTTCTTCATTGCCTTCAGGATGACGTAAAAAATACATGAGCAGTTATTGTATTCAACATTGTTGAACCAAAAAATACTATAAAAACTTATGTTATAGAATATTTAGAAATTGATTTTCAAAAATTTTGAAGAAATAACTATCGCATTTCTTCAAATAATATGAAATTTTGTTCAAAATTTCGTATAACATAGCATACATAACTGAAATTATATATTTTTGAACAGGTGAATTAGTGCCCGACTCACGATCGAGAGGTCGTGAGTTCGATCCGTACCTCGACAAAATATTTTTCTCGCAAGAATTTGTCTAGTTGAAGTTGGAATGATTCTACAACTTCACGGATTGTGAGCAGCCATGATGCATTCTAGGTGGCTTGGGTATTTATCAACATTGCTTACCCAGAACACGAGGCTAATGATCAAAGTAGTCGATGCCGTTGACACCATAAAATTTATTTTTCAATTATCCTAAACTTTGTTTTTTGATTTCGTATTGGAGGCTCCAACATTGATAATTTTGAAAATATTGAAACAATTCAAAAATAAACTGGGGCTCTATAAGCCCCACTACAAAGTAACCGATTAAAATGTATAAACTCAAAAAATCGAGGAAGAAATAGTTTGCTTTGAGATAGGGATGAAATAGTGCTATGAAGATTAGATTAAATTAGAGAAAATAATCCTACATAACATGCGGAATTTGAAAATTCACCTTATTTTTTCAACAGACCTCGTATGTTTATGTATTATAATCATTATTATCGTGTTCCACGATTTTTCTACGGTCTCAATATCAAATAAACGATTTATAATGACTCGTTTCAATGCAATGTAGATGAATATTTTTTGTATACATTTTTGTATAGAAAGAACATTGTAGTTTCTTGAGAATAAATAATTGATTATTTTAAGAAAAATCTGGTTCTTTCATGCCGTTTTCTTACAGAGCCAATATTTGGAAGACGTTCTGATGAATGCAGGAATCACTACAAGGGATTTGCTTCCAACAGAAGTATTGACTGAGCATGTAAAAAACGAAAAATCTGGACAAATTAACTGGATAAGTTTCTTACCACTGGAATTGTTCGATAACGAAGATTTTGATATAAGGTGAGGCTAGTATGTTCAGATTAGTACTTCTGTATCCATCGTTCCATGATGAGTTTCAAAACGGTTCTATTGTTTTTATTGTTAGTATCCATTGTTAGTATCCACAATCGACTTCGGTGATGACTGGACCTATTCCTCCCACATCTGACTATTTATAGGTCATTCGAGTGCTTTCACCTATCCCCTATTTCCTCTCTCCGCTTCTGCAGTCCGCGTTTGGTGGACTGGTTTTTGTGAGGCTCCTACAAATGGTGTTTCCGGATTTGATGCAGGTTCTGATGTTGTACTTATCCTTTTCAACAATCATCTGGCGTAGGGAAGTACAAGCACTAGTTGTGACGTCTTGTCTTCTAGTCTGTTCTAGTCTAGTTCTAGTCTGTTCCACCATCACTTTGGAGTAACCATTTCGTTGAAGATTTTTTTGATTATGGCTAGTTCCTTCTCATGACCATCCTTCGTATTCCTCGTATTTTCACTTGCTATTGTCCAACCCGTGTTAGGAATCACACGTTGAAAGGTAAGACCTCATTACATACCACGCCATTGATGTGCTTCAGAAAGGTATCTATTTCTGTATTCTGTATTATCTTTTCATTCTAATTTTATTCGTTCTGGCATATATTTCGAATGATATGGGAATGATATTACACAATGGAAATCCGAGCTAGTAAAATTCACCATGAATTATTGTCCAACCACTTTCAAACATTACATATTCTACTCCACAGGACATCCGAGAACTGGTTGGACCATGGCGTTATTGATAACGTTAGACACCCGCTCCCTGGAAAAGCTTTTGTTCCCACACCGGTCGACATCATCAATTCAACGACAACAACTACAGAAGAATATTATTCGTGGGTAAATGTTGCCGTGGCTGAATATGATCCAGAACCGAAATTGTGGACGGTCCTAACTTTGGACGGTCTGCAAAGGACTTTTCGACTGCCAAGACTGTTCGTGATGTTCGACGCAGAAGATCCTGTTAACTTTGCAAACAGGATAAGAGCAGCGTTGAATTTGAGATTCGATACGGAGAACTTGATAAGGTAAACAAGTTGAACTATTTCAATTCCGTGGTTTTTCTTAAAATTGACAGGTGGCAAAAATGTAGTTGCACAGTATTGCTTTCTTGGTAACGGTAGAATATACGATGTTAGTTAAATTAGACAAAAAAATGTACTTTTCAGAATGCAATGGAATTAGAATTAGAAATCCAGACTACCCTGAGCTGTTTTCGAAATAATCGAAAAAATAATGAAATCGTTGATTTTAATTTATCCGCTCCGGTATCTTTAATGTACAAAATGTGAAAAAATCAGGAATATTTTTTATTCAACTTCATGAAGGCTATCATATGTACACATTTAATTTTTCATACATCGTTTCGTTTACTTAGGATAACCTTCATAATTTTTTAAATACGGACCTGTGATTTCACTATAATAAATATCATCATAACTGCGACGATTGTATATGAAATTCAATATATAGGTAAGTACTTGATTTGTTTTCACGAAGTGAAAAACGGGCTT